CACTGAGTAAGGGGCTTGTGTACCAGTTATCAGTATATAATATACAGTGGAACCTCAAAAATCGAACGTATCACATATCGAACGTTTATGACAAACTGTGTCCCTATTATCGAACGCGCCTCTATTTTCGGACCGCCTGGTACGGGACCTGTCTGTTGGCCCGCTCTGTCTGCGTCCCCGTGCAGGTGCCGTGAGCAGTCTAGCTTTGTTTATGCTTGAGTGAACACTAACCTGCGATCTCACTTACACATTTTACGATTATTTAATTGTGTTTAGTGCTTGTGGGGCTGTGAAATAAGCTGCCATGGGTCCAAAGAAACTTGCTAGCAGTACCCCTGTGGTAAAGAAAGTGAGAAACACCATAGATGTGAAGAAGGAAATAATACAGAAGTATGAGATTGGAGTGAGACTTGTTGAGCTTGCCAGGATGTACAGAGGACTGTGGACAGTTATTTTGTGAGACTGGGGTCCAATGACTCTCAAGCTGGTCCTAGTGGCATTAAAATACAGAGAAGGGAAGCAACCCCAGAGAGGGCTTTAATACCGGAAGTCCTCATGGAGGGGGATTCTCCTTCCAAATAATAACCCCAACTCCCTCTCTCCTCCCTATCTTCCAGATGCCATCACCAATCTTCAATAAAGGTAAGTAAAAATGTTATTTTATATTACTATACATAATTAAAGACTATAGCATTTGTTGTGTGTATGTAAAACTGTAATTAATCTCTATAAAATGTATTTTTTTGTGAATATTTTTGGGTTTCTGGAACGGATTAATTGTATTTCCATTATTTTTTATGGGAAATATTGCTTTGAATTTCAGACTTTTCGAATTTAGAACTAGCTCCATTTCAGACACCCAAAAGTATTAAAAAAAAATGTTTCCTGCATAAAATATACATTTACCTACACAGAAAACAATGATACATGTAGAATAAAACAATAATAACATCACACTTACCTTTATTGAAGACATGGTGATGTATGGAAGATAGTAGGAGGGGAGAGGATGGAGGAGTTTACAATTGTTTGGAAGGGAAATCCCCTTCCATAAAGACTTCAGGTACCAAGTCCTTATCCTGGGTTACTTCCCTTCTTTGTTTTTTAATGCCACTAGAACCTGCTTGAGAGTCATTGGACCCCTGTTGCTTAAAAAAGTGTTCCAGAGAGGTCTGTTTCTGGCATATGTTAGGAATTGTGTTGGGAAACAGGACAAGATAGTCCTTCACTGTGACACTAATATCAGCTCTACGGCTTATTTATCTAGCACAATTCATCTAATATGACATAATGAACAATATTAATAAAATAGAAACATGATATATACTCTAGAATGAATAAAATATGGCACTAAAAATGTCACGAGTGGTGGTGTGTTGTTTGTTGTTGGGTGTATAAGGGCCACTGAAAGATAAGCCTTACATAGTGGTGATGATGTCATATTTTTTTAATTTGCATGAAATTGGCCAAATTGCCAATTTCTGACCATTTTATTGGGTAGTTGAAAACCGTAAATGGGCAGTTTCTTGTACTCAACTGATAGAAAAAATGGAGTTCTAAAGACATAGCTATGAGTTTGGTCGACTGGAACAGTGGAATTGGCCGAAAACAGGGCTCAAAGTCGACAAAATCGCTGATGCATATATATCGCCAAGATTGCTAACTTTGCGGGAGCATTCCGTAAATTTTCAATCAGATTTTGTACTTTTGGTGTCATTACCATCGGGAAAAGATTTTCTATCATTTCATAAGAAAAAGTAATAATTTTTTTTTTTTTTTTTCAAAAAAAATTTCGACATAGAATGACAGTTTCAGAAAGGGGCTTGCGACAATCAGAGGGTTAACCAAAAAAAAATTTTTTTTTGGTTAAGTATAGATTTACATGCAGAAAAGAATGAACATTCAACATGACACTTACCTTTATTGAAGACTCTTGGTGTATGGAAGACAGGGAGGAGGGGAGAGGGAAGAGAGGTTATTCTTTGGAAAGGGAATCCTCCTCTATAAGGACTCCACATTGCACAACTCTCCATTATTACCACCCTCTTCCACCATCACTACCACCCTCTACCACCATCACTACCACCCTCTACCACCATCACTACCACCCTCTACCACCATCATAACCACTACCACCCTCCACCACCATCACTAGCACCCTCTACTGCCATCACAACCACTACCACCATCACAACCACTACCACCATCACAACCACTACCACCCTCTACCACCATCACAACTACTACCACCATTACTACCACCCTCTACCATCATTATTACCACCATCACAATCACTAATACCCTCTACCACCATCACTACCACCCTCTACCACCATCACTACCACCCTCTACCACCATCACTATCACCCTCTACCACCATCACTATCACCCTCTACCACCACCGCTTTTGTTTATTTCTACAAACTTTTTCTTTAATTCTATTGCGTTGCTCACTTTCTTTAGCAAAGGACTGGCACTAGGAGCTTTCTTTGGGGCCATGGTGGCTTATTTAGTAGTCACACACACAATAAACAAGTGTCAAAAACAATGGATTATTACGAAATGTTTCATATGACCTCACAGGATATGTTCACTCACCGAGAAACAACACGACACTGCCTGAGAATGCATGTGGGAGGTGGCTTTGTGTGCACGCTGGGCACTGGACAGGTTCCATACCATCGACAAAAATGGAGGAAATCGACGAAAACGGAACCAATATTTTGATGAAAAAACTTGTCAAAAACGGAAATCGGCGATAACAGAAATCGACAAAAAGGGAGGGTCTACTGTACTGTATTACCGTAATAATAAACAGATTGAAAGGAATTTCCCAGCAGACATAAAATTGAATGTTTTAATTTTCAGTGGTGACACTTTTGGAGTGTCAGTAAGGAGTAATTCCTCAGTTAACGGCAAATTCATTTACAAACGTGGTCTTAGGAATGGAACTTCATTGGTAAGTGAGGAGAGCCTATATTTTATTTTTTATTGTTTTTAACCCCTTGACTGTCACAACCCCCAATCCTGAGGTGTCTTCTGGTGTTGCAAAATTTCAAAAAAAAAAAAAAAAATTCTTGTGAAATGATAATCTTTTCCTAATTGTAATGACACCAAAAATCAAAATTTGATGGAAAACTGACGGAATTACGCTCTCGCAAAGTTAGCGACCTCGGCGATATTTACAAATCGGCGATTTTGCCCACTTTGAGCCCTATTTTTGGCTAATTCCATTGTTCCGCTCGACCAAACTCATAGCTATTTCTTTAGAACTCCATTTTTTCTATCGATTGAGTACAAGAAACTGCCCATTTACCGATTTCAACTACCCAGTAACGTGGTCAGAAATTTGCAATTTGGCCAATTTCGCGAAAATTTAAAAATATGACAATTTCAAAATAAGATCCAGAATGAACAATGCAGACATTCCTGGCTCTAAAATAACATTTTCTTTGTTTATCAGTCACATCTTCAGGACCCTTTGATATTACTCATGCTTTCTATTTTGAATTTTTATTCAAACAAAAAATAGAAGATTTACTGTTATGCAGACTATTGCAATATTGTAATAATTGTACAAATAATGCCAACCCATTCATGACTGCATATCAGAATGGCTAGTTGGACATTTATTGGACAATGACATCATTTGTTTACTTTTGAACATCGGCAAAAATCAAACATTTTCCATATGTTGAGCTCCATTTCCAGGCTCTTTTTATAGTAAAACCAATCAAAATCACCTCTATTTCTATAATATGTTTTCCATTCTATCAAACGAGACCAAGAAAATGAGAACAGAACCATAAATACTATACGAAAATAGACCACAAAGTCAGCATTTTAATACATAAGTCTATTGCTAACTTAATATTTATTAGTGTAAACTTATTATCTGGCATTCATATAAGTGAAAAAAAATAGTGTTCTGCTTTCTGGCAATGTCCCCTTTCTGGCAGTAGCCTGGAACCCTAACCTGATGTATAAATGGGGCCCTACTGTATTGCATTTTATTTTTATGTATTTATTTATATATTTGCAAGTACTAGTACATTGAGATTATGTATTTACAATAATGGGTTAAATTGCAAGGAGAGCCTAATGCCTAGGCATTATGGGCTGACTTAATTTAATGGCTTACTGACTACAGTGGACCCTCGGGTGATGCCTTTAATCCGTTCCAGAGAGCTAGCTTTCAACCCTTAAACTGTTCAAACGTAGATCTATGTTTGCACGAGTAGTGCTCCAAACATAGATCAACGTTTTATTTTTCATTCCTTCAAGTTTGGCGCAATAGGCTTGAGTCGCCTAGACATGAAAGAATGGGTCTGTGCACTCAGTGTGCGCACTGTTAAAAAAATCTGGGAGCACTTAGTACCTTGTGGGAGCACCAGTTTAATTGAGTGCCAGCTAGAGCAAATAGCATGGCAAACACCAGGGAGTCGCTTGCCATGTCGCATTAACACTCTCATTTTAAGAGGAAAGTAAAAATAGGTTAGATAAATACATGAGTGAGTGTGGGTGGGTGTGAATTGGACCTGACTAGCTTGTGCTACTAGGTCTGATGTCATGCTCCTTCCTTCACTGGATGTGACCTGACTAGGTGGGTCATGGGTCTAAGCCAGGGGGGGGAGGGTGACATGTACCTGCCTTGCATGAGCCAGTAGGCCTGCTACAGGGTTCCTTCTTTCTTATGTTCTTATGTATTCGGCAGGCTGGCCAGCTGGCTTGCTTTGGCTGTCTCTGGCTGTCTCTCTGTCTATATCTCTGTCTATGTATATCTCTATATATCTGTCTATGTCTCTGTCTCACATGTACACATAAGTACAGTTATTATATATAGTGTAAATTACCTAGAATAATCCAGAAATTCCAGGCAAAGATAGATAGAGAGAAAGAAAGACAGACAGGCAGGCAGACAGACAGACAGACAGACAGATACAGAAACGTGTTTGTGTGTATCAGTGAAAACAAATAAAGCCAGGGTTCCCCGAGCACCCATTTATCAAATGTCACCGAGCTGATAACAGATGTCATAACACCATTCTTCAAGGAGTGTGATATACATATACTCCAGGCAGACAGAAAGATAAGAGACAGACAGACAGACAGACAAGCAGGCAGATAGACAGAGACAGATAGGCAGATAAACAGGCAGACAGACAGATAGACAGACAGACAGGCAGACAAACAGATAGATACAGACAGATAAATAGACAAGAGAGACAAGACATGTTTGTGTGTAACAGTGATAACAAATACAGTGAGGGTTAGCTGGAGCAGTGGGCATTCATCAATTGTCACTGGGCTGTCAACAGTATAAGGATGCCTTTCATAACAACATGCTTCAAGGTATATGCCAGGGTATCTAAAACATTGCTGGGACCTATAAATACTTTGTATATATTTCTAGACAGTAATAAATAACCCAAGCAGGTGTAAATGTTCACCTGTCAATGTGATTATGACAATTTGAGCACTATTTCAGTACCTAATATTAGTGTCAGAACAAAGATTGGCTGTGAAATTACGAGAACTATTATAAATTGTAATTCTCAGAGCATAAAAATATATAAATTAAAATAAAAACGAGAAAAAAAGGTATATCGGCAACAGTCGACGTTGCCGACAGATGAGCATCCAGAGCCAACTTCACGGTCTTATATCTCGGTAAGTACTGACCCTAAATGTTTTTTTTTCTATAACATGTAGAAAAATGTGCTTTTCATTTTAAAAGAAAAAATAATTTTTTATTTTTCAAAATATTCAGAGTGCCACATGACAGAACGTAGATCTATGTTTGGACAGTTTAAGGGTTAACCGATTTAGCCTTTAACCGAATTAATTTTCCCCATAAGAAATAATGGAAATCCAATTAATCCATTCCAGACACCCAAAAGTATTAAACAAAATATTTTTTTTACATGAAATATACATTTCCCTACACAGAAAGCAATGATACATGCACAATAAACAATACTGAAATGACACTTACCTTTATTGTGGACGTGTTGATAAATGATGAGACAGGAGGAGGGGAGAGGATGAAGGTGTTCTATTGTTTGGAAGGGGAATCCCCTTCCATAAAGACTTCAGGTAACTACGTAGCCCTTTTCTGGGGTTACCTCCTTTCTTGGTTTTTTAATGCCACTGAGAACAACTTGAGAGTCACTGGACCCCTGTCACACAAAATATTTGTCCAGAGAGCTGTTTCTTGCGTCCCTTTAAGATTTCCCTAAAATGGGACACAAGAGTGTCATTGTACATGTTGCCAATATGGCTTGCAACAGCTGTCAGGATAATATTCATCCATAAATGCTTTCAACTTTGTCCACATTGTATACATTTCTTTAATCTTTGACGAAGGCAACTTCCTCCATCTCTCTTCCTCCTCCTCTGAAGCACATTCCTGAGTTGTGATTTGTTGCTGTTGCACCTGAAGCTCTTTGCAGCTCTGTAGTGTTTAGCTCTTCATCGTCATCCTCCACCAACACTTCCACATCCTCGCCACAATAGATTGCACAACTGGCATAGTCTGCAGAGGGTTAGCCCCAAACCCTTCAAAATCCCTCTCTTCTACACATTGTGGTCACAATTTTCTCCAAGTAAAGTTCCAAGTCCTGCAGGTCACTCCCCCCCCCAAGCCTTACGTATAAGGTTTATGCAACTGAGGATACTGAAGTGATCTTTCCAGAACTCTCCTAGGGCCAATTCGGTGTCTGAGGTCACTTCAAAGCACCTTTGAAACACTACTTTGGTGTACAGTATTTTGAAGTTTGAAATGACCTGTTGGTCCATGGGCTGGAGGAAAGGAGTGGTATTAGGAGGCAAAAATTTCACTTTGATAAAGCTCAACTCACCCGCAATTTGCTCTTGCAAGTCGTGAGGATGAGGAGGAGCATTGTCCATTACCAGAAGGCACTTGAGTGGCAATTTATTTTCCAGGAGGTACTTTTTCACAGTGGGGCAAAACACGTCATAGAACCAGTCCAGGAAAATGTCCCTAGTGACCCATGCCTTACTGTTTGCTCTCCACATCACACACAATTTAGTCTTGACGACATTGTTTTTCTGGAACACACTGGGAGTTTCAGAAGAGTTGTACACAAGTAAAGGCTTCACTTTGCAATCCCCACTAGCATTACTACAAAACATTAGAGTTATCCTGTCTTTCATAGGCTTGTGTCCTGGGAGTGCCTCTTCCTCCTGAGTAATGTAGGTCCTGTTTAGCATTTTCTTCCAAAACAGGCCTGTTTTGTCACAGTTGAACACTTGTTGGGGTTTTAATTTTTCAGTGTCTATGTACTCCTTAAAGTTCTGCACATATTTTTCAGCCACTTCTTTGTCAGAACTGGCAGCCTCACCCTGCCTTATCACACTGTGTATGCCACGACGATTCTTAAATCTCTCAAACCAGCATTTGCTGGCCTTAAATTCATTAATAGCAGCACTATTTGGAGGCATTTTCTTAATGAGATCCACCTGCAACTGCCTTCCTTGCCTTTTCACTTATTATTGACTGAGAAACACTATCTCCTGATAATTGTTTCTCGTTTATCCACACCAACAGCAGTCTCTCCACATCTTCGAGTATTTGCGATCTATGTTTTGTAAGCATACTTGCACCTTTCACAACAACAGCTTCCTTGATTGCCTTTTTGTTGGTCAAGATAGTAGTGATGGTTGAATGGGGTTTGTTATATAATCTTTCCAACTCTGAGATATGCACTCCACTCTTGTACTTTGCGATTATCTCTTTCTTTAATTTGATAGTACACCACACCCTTTTTACCACAGGGTTGGCACTAGAAGCTTTCTTGGGGCCCATGGTGGGTTTTTTAGCAATTACAAGCACTAAAAACAATGGAATAATACAAAATATATCGCATGTACACGTGGAATTGTCCTCACTGGCTTTGTAAACAATGGCACACTGGCTGTACAAGGAGTATGGAGTGGCCGGGCCCACTCAGGCCACGCAGACATGTTCGGGATGAAAGCCCTTAACCGAGTTATTTGGCATTAGCTGAGCCAATATTTTTACGCCAAAGCGAGCTGTTAGCTGATTTTGGCGCTAACTGATGAAGCCTTTACCCGAGGGTCCACTGTACTTAACACTAAAGAATTTTATCATAGTTATACAGTGGACCCCCACCTTATGATGGCATCACCTTACGTTAAATCCATCATACGATACATTTTAACGCAAAAATTTTGCCTTGCCTCACGTTAAAAAACTCGCCTCATGAGATTCGTCCCGGGCATCCCAAGTGTGGCCTGAGCGTGCCTCAGCTGCCCCATGGGTGCCAGTGTTTACAAGCCATCCAGTGCGGTTGCATCCACGCATACAATCGGTACATTTCATATTATCACAGCGTTTTTAGTGATTGTACCTGCAAAATAAGTCACCAAGGGCCCCAGGAAAGCTTCTAGTGCCAACCGTGCAGTAAAAAAGGTGAAAATTACTATGGAAATGAAAGAGATAATTGCTAAGTACGAAAGTGGAGTGCGTGTCTTGGAGCTGGCCAGGTTGTATACCAAACCCCAATCAACCATCGCTACTATTGTGGCCAACAAAACGGCAATCAAGGAAGCTGTTCTTGCAAAAGGTGCAAGTTTGTTTTCGAAACAGAGATCGCAAGTACTTGAAGATGTTGAGAGACTGTTATTGGTGTGGATAAATGAAAAACAGATAGCAGGAGATACCATCTCTCAGATGATCATATGTAAAAAGGGTGGGAAATACATACTATCATACCACGGTCAGCTGCTGCTGCACCACGGTCAGCTGTTGCTGCACCACCATCAGCTGTTGCTGCACCACATTCAGCTGCTGCTGCACCACTGTCAGCTGCTGCTGCACCACTGTCAGCTGCTGCTGCACCACTGTCAGCTGCTGCTGTGCCACTGTCAGCTGTTGCTGCACCACTGTCAGCTGCTGCTGCACTATCAGCTGCTGCTGCACCACCGTCAGCTGTTGCTGCATCATGGTCAGCTGCTGCTGCACCACCATCAACTGTTTCTGACCAACATGACTCGTCCCGAACCTGTCCGTCCAGCCTGAGCGCCTCAACTTCCCTGCCGTCATTGTTTACAAGCCAGGGTGGCTGGTTGCATGCATACATTCGATACATTTTGTATTATTCCATTGTTTATAGTGCTTGTAACTGCTAAATAAGCCACCATGGGCCCAAAGAAAGCTTCTAGTGCCAACCCTGTGGTAAAAAGGGTGAGAAATATGTACTATCATACCACGGTCTGCTGCTGCTGCACCACCGTCGGCTGTTGCTGCACCACGGTCAGCTGTTGCTGCACCATGGTCACCTGTTGCTGCACCAGTCAGCTGTTCCTGAACCACGGTGAGCTGCTGTTGCACCACAGTCAGCTGTTGCTGCACCACAGTCAGCTGCTGCTACACCACTGTCATTTGTTGCTGCACCATGGTCGGCTGTTGCTGCACCAAAGTCAGCTGTTGCTGCACCAGTCACCTGTTGCTGAACCACAGTGAGCTGCTGTTGCACCATGGTCAGCTGCTGCTGCACCACAGTCAGCTGCTGCTACACCTCCGTCATCTGTTGCTGCACCACGGTCAGCTGTTGCTGCACCATGGTCAGCTGCTGCTGCACCAAAGTCAGCTGTTGCTGCACAATGGTCAGCTGCTGCTGCACCAAAGTCAGCTGTTGCTGCACCACAGTCAGCTGTTGCTGCACCAGTCAGCTGTTGCTGAACCACGGTCAGCTGCTGTTGTACCATGGTCAGCTGCTGCTGCACCACAGTCAACTGCTGCTACACCACCGTCATCTGTTGCTGCACCACGGTCAGCTGCTGCTGCACCATGGTCAGCTGTTGCTGCTCCAGTCAGCTGTTGCTGAACCACAGTGAGCTACTGTTGCACCACAGTCAGCTGTTGCTGCACCAAAGTCAGCTGTTGCTGCACCACGGTCAGCTGTTGCTGCACCAGTCAGCTGTTGCTGAACCACGGTGAGCTGCTGTTGTACCACGGTCAGCTGCTGCTGCACCACAGTCAGCTGCTGCTACACCACCGTCATCTGTTGCTGCAGCACGGTCAGCTGCTGCTGCACCAAAGTCAGCTGTTGCTGCACCATGGTCAGCTGTTGCTGCACCATGGTCAGCTGGTCCTAGTGGCATTAAAAGAAGAAGGGAAGTAACCCCGGAAAAGGACGTGCTACCTAAAGTCCTAATGGAAGGGGATTCCCCTTCTAAACATTAACAACTTCCACACTCTCCCCTCCTCCCATCCCATCAATCATCACCAGATCTTCAATAAAGGTACGTGTCAGTTTGTGTGTATTAAAATTAATATTTCATGTGGTAAAAAAAAAAAAAATTTCATCCTTTGTGGTGTCTTGCACGGATTAATTTGATTTCCATTATTTCTTATGGGAAAAATTAATTCACCTTACGATAATTTTGGCATACGATGAGCTCTCAGGAACGGATTAATATCGTAAGGTGGGGGTCCACTGTACAGTAGTTTTATTAATTATAAGTGAATCTATTTTATACAAACCAAAGGATATATTCATATATTCAAAAATGCTTTTTTTATGAAACATGACTCAGTCATATTCCTGTCGACAATGAGCAATAGGTTCAAAAGTAAATATTGAAATTATAGTATGGGAATATAACATTGTGATTTGCTAAAAGTAGTTTACAGTATGAGAATGCTACAACTTTTTATGGTGTATTTTTCTCAGAGCAACTATTATTAAGGAGATCACAATAACAATGGAAACTCATGGACTGAGTGTGGATCGACGACATGTGATGTTACTGGCTGACCTCATGACTTGCCGTGGCCAGGTCCTCGGTATCACCAGACACGGACTTTCAAAAATGAAGGAATCTGTTCTTATGCTTGCTTCTGTAAGTAAATGTATACTTTTTTATTTTATTTTGTGATTTATACTGTATGGATATTTACTTATAAAACTGCGGTGATCAAATGTGCCCAACTTTAGCTCCTTGAATGTAACAGGTTAACCTGTGCTAACTTACTAAAACAGCTCCTGAAAAATTATGTAAGTGTCTTTTCTATGCCCACCACCTTGTAAAGGATTTTTTTCATTTTTGTTGATATATTCTAGGAAAGTGTCTTATTTTGTCATTTAACTATCAAGCAAACCAGAGAAAATTAGCAAATTATTGAAGCACTATGTGACAGAGCTGGTAAGCTGGAGGCAGACTTGTCAGGTCACCACTATGTCAATCTATATGAGATTTTTTTTTATTCTCCCAGAAGTGAGAGAGAGGAGTGGAGAATTACTGAACATCAGTTAAGTTCAAGGGAGGCTTCCAGCTGATTTGCACTTTTGAAAAATAGAAACAGGTACAGAGAGCCTGTAGCAGGTAACATTACTCTGTGAAAGAGGCTTAATGTGTTAGCTGAACCACACCCTGACATGCCCCAGTCAGAGCTCCAGAGAGCTCCCTTGGTTGCTTAGCCAGAGTCCCAGGGAGCACCCCTGGTTGCTCAGCCAGAGTCCCAGGGAGCACCCGTGGTTACTCAGCCAGAGCCCCAGGGAGCACCACTGGTTGCTCAGCCAGAGCCCCAGGGAGCACCCAAGGTTGTTCAGCCAGAGCCCCAGGGAGCACCCCTAGTTGCTCAGCCAGAGTCCCAGGGAGCACCCCTGGTTGCTCAGCCAGAGCCCCAGGAAGCACCCAAGGTTGCTCAGCCAAGTCCCCAGGGAGCACTCATGATTGCTCAGTCAGAGCCCCAGAGAGCACTCCTGATTGCTCAGCCAGAGCCCCAGGGAGCACCTCTGGTTGCTCAGCCAAGTCCCCAGGGAGCACTGCAAGTATTGCTAGTTGGGGACTCCATTATAAGACACCAGCATACAGAATTCTTTCATAGAAATACATTCATAAGGAGGATGTTTCTCAGGTGCAAAAATCAAGGATGGATGTGATAAATTTACTGAAGTAACAAAAGGTATTCCTGAGAAAAGTGGATAATTCCTCCATTTCCTAACATCAAATATGAATGACTCCCATTCCCCAGGTGCTCTCTGGTTTCTATGGATTTAGTGCCTTCACAGATAAAAAGATAATTATTTATAAGAAACCAGTGATTTAAAGCAGATCAGATAAGAAGATTCTTATCCCTTTAACTGTCACAGCATTGATCAATGTTCCTCCGCTAGTGCTCTCAATATTCAAAAAAGAGATGTAAAAAAAAAGGATAATTTTCTGTGTGTAATGAGACCCTCCAAAAATTTTTAGGGTCACTACTTACCAGGATGTAAGGCGGCAAAGTTGACACAGGAAGCTCTCATGATGGTAACATGGAGTCCTGCCCCTTGCAGAAATGTTACAGATATACGTTTTTTTTTTTTATTATTAATTATTTTTTTAATTTACATAGTAAAGTGTTTAAAGGAAGAACTCTGAAAGTGAACATAGATAAGAGTAAGGTGGTGAGGGTATCAAATGATTTAGATAAAGAAAAACTGGATATCACATCGGAGAGAAGGAGTATGGAAGAAGTGAATGTTTTCAGATACGTATTTGGGAGTTGAATGGCAGTGGATCGGTTTATGAAGGATGAGGTTAACCATAGAATTGATGAAGAAAAAGAAGTGAGTGGTGCATTGAGGTATCTATGGAGACAAAAAAACATTGTCCATTGAAGCAAAGAAGGGAATTTTTTTTTTTTTTATTATTATCACACTGGCCGATTCCCACCAAGGCAGGGTGGCCGAAAAAGAAAAACTTTCACCATCATTCACTCCATCACTGTCTTGCCAGAAGGGTGCTTTATGCTACAGTTTTTAAACTGCAACATTAACACCCCTCCTTCAGAGTGCAGGCACTGTACTTCCCATCTCCAGGACTCAAGTCCGGCCTGCCGGTTTCCCTGAATCCCTTCATAAATGTTACTTTGCTCACACACCAACAGCACGTCAAGTATTAAAAACCATTTGTCTCCATTCACTCCTATCAAACACGCTCACGCATGCCTGCTGGAAGTCCAAGCCCCTCGCACACAAAACCTCCTTTACCCCCTCCCTCCAACCTTTCCTAGGCCGACCCCTACCCCGCCTTCCTTCCACTACAGACTGATACACTCTTGAAGTCATTCTGTTTCGCTCCATTCTCTCTACATGTCCGAACCACCTCAACAACCCTTCCTCAGCCCTATGGACAACAGTTTTGGTAATCCCGCACCTCCTCCTAACTTCCAAACTACGAATTCTCTGCATTATATTCACACCACACATTGCCCTCAGACATGATATCTCCACTGCCTCCAGCCTTCTCCTCGCTGCAACATTCATCACCCATGCTTCACACCCATATAAGAGCATTGGTAAAACTATACTCTCACACATTCCCCTCTTTTCCTCCAAGGACAAAGTTCTTTGTCTTCACAGACTCCTAAGTGCACCGCTCACCCTTTTCCCCTCATTAATTCTATGATTCACCTCATCTTTCATAGACCCATCCGCTGACACGTCCACTCCCACTTCCTGTATTCACTTTTAATTTTCTTATTTTGCACACCCTACCAAATTCATCCACCAATCTCTGCAACTTTTCTTCAGAATCTCCCAAGAGCACAGTGTCATCAGCAAAGAGCAACTGTGACAACTCCCACTTTATGTGTGATTCTTTATCTTTTAACTCCATGTCTCTTGCCAAGACCCTCGCATTTACTTCTCTTACAACCCCATCTATAAATATATTAAACAACCACGGTGACATCACACATCCTTGTCTAAGGCCTACTTTTACTGGGAAATAATTTCCCTCTTTCATACATACTCTAACTTGAGCCTCACTATCCTCGTAAAAACTCTTCACTGCTTTCAGTAACCTACCTCCTGCACCATACACCTGCAACATCTGCCACATTGCTCCCCTATCCACCCTGTCATACGCCTTTTCCAAATCCATAAATGCCACAAAGACCTCTTTAGCCTTATCTAAATACTGTTCACTTATATGTTTCACTGTAAACACCTGGTCCACACACCCCCTACCTTTCCTAAAGCCTCCTTGTTCATCTGCTATCCTATTCTCCATCTTACTCTTAATTCTTTCAATAATAACTCTACCATACATTTTACCAGGTATACTCAACAGACTTATCCCCCTATAATTTTTGCACTCTCTTTTGTCCCCTTTGCCTTTATACAAAGGAACTATGCATGCTCTCTGCCAATCCCTAGGTACCTTACCCTCTTCCATACATTTATTAAATAATTGCACCAACCACTCCAAAACTATATCCCCACCTGCTTTTAACATTTCTATCTTTACCCCATCAATCCCGGCCGCCTTACCCCCTTTCATTTTACCTACTGCCTCATGAACTTCCCAAACACTCACAACTGGCTCTTCCTCACTCCTACAAGATGTTATTCCTCCTTGCCCTATACACGAAATCACATCTTCCCTATCTTCATCAACATTTAACAATTCCTCAAAATATTCCCTCCATCTTCCCAATACCTGTAACTCTCCATTTAATAACTCTCCCCTCCTATTTTTAACTGACAAATCCATTTGTTCTCTAGGCTTCATTAACTTGCTAATCTCACTCCAAAACTTTTTCTTATTTTCAACAAAATTTGTTGATAACATCTCACCCACTCTGTCATTTGCTCTCTTTTTACATTGCTTCACCACTCTCTTAACCTCTCTCTTTTTCTCCATATACTCTTCCCTCCTTGCATCACTTCTACTTTGTAAAAACTTCTCATATGCTAACTTTTTCTCCCTTACTACTCTCTTTACATCATCATTCCACCAATCGCTCCTCTTCCCTCCTGCACCCACTTTCCTGTAACCACAAACTTCTGCTGAACACTCTAACACTACATTTTTAAACCTACCCCATACCTCTTCGACCCCATTGCCTATGCTCTCATTAGCCCATCTATCCTCCAATAGCTGTTTATATCTTACCCTAACTGCCTCCTCTTTTAGTTTATAAACCTTCACCTCTCTCTTCCCTGATGCTTCTATTCTCCTTGTATCCCATCTACCTTTTACTCTCAGTGTAGCTACAACTAGAAAGTGATCTGATATATCTGTGGCCCCTCTATAAACATGTACATCCTGAAGTCTACTCAACAGTCTTTTATCTACCAATACATAATCCAACAAACTACTGTCATTTCGCCCTACATCATATCTTGTATACTTATCCTCTTTTTCTTAAAATATGTATTACCTATAACTAAACCCCTTTCTATACAAAGTTCAATCAAAGGGCTCCCATTATCATTTACACCTGGCACCCCCAAACTTACCTACCACACCCTCTCTAAAAGTTTCTCCTACTTTAGCATTCAGGTCCCCTACCACATTTTCTCTCTCACTTGGTTCAAAGGCTCCTATACATTCACTTAGCATCTCCCAAAATCTCTCTCTCTCCTCTGTATTCCTCTCTTCTCCAGGTGCATACACGCTTATTATGACCCACTTCTCGCATCCAACCTTTACTTTAATCCACATAATTCTTGAATTTACACATTCATATTCTCTTTTCTCCTTCCATAACTGATCATTCAACATTACTGCTACCCCTTCCTTTGCTCTAACTCTCTCAGATACTCCAGATTTAATCCCATTTATTTCCCCCCACCGAAACTCCCCTACCCCCTTCAGCTTTGTTTCGCTCAGGGCCAGGACATCCAACTTCTTTTCATTCATAACATCAGCAATCATCTGTTTCTTGTCATCCGCACTACATCCACGCACATTCAAGCATCCCAGTTTTATAAAGTTTTTCTTCTTCTCTTTTTTAGTAAATGTCTACAGGAGAAGGGGTTACTAGCCCATTGCTCCCGGCATTTTAGTCGCCTCATACGACACGCATAGCTTACAGAGGAAAGATTCTTTTCCACTTCCCCATGGAC